TGCGCTTCCATATGGGGAACCAAATACATTGCCGCAGAAAATGAAGAAGTGGCGGGGATCGAAAGCCTTCCCTGGGCCGATGAGAGGACTCCACCAGTCGCTGACGTCGCTGCTCCCCGTCAGAGCATGGCAAATGACTAGAACATTATCTCGCTCTTTGTTCAGCTTTCCCCAAGTCTTGTACGCCACGGGGCATTCGTAGAGGATCTCGCCTGAGTCTAGCGGGAAGCTCGGGATGATGGCGAAGTTTTGATTGCGGATGAGGCGAGTGTAGAAGTTATCCGAGTTTGGACTTGCACTAACGACTATTTCCGGGGTATTAGTCGAACAGAGTCCCCAGGCCGAACGCCGAACAACTTACGCAGAGCCATATCGTAGGTTTGGTGTAGTGTCAGGAAATTACTCCGGTGAACAAGAAGGAAAGACCACGCGAGATTGCTGAAAGTGCCGACGGCTTCGATCACTTGCTGAATGTATCGAGCTGACGGGAGTGTCCAGACCAGCTCTTATTGGTGGATAGGATCAGTGTAGACACCAGCTGATTGAACAGAACGGTGTCATGGAACGATATCAGCCCAAGAGTCTTGATGAGGAACCAAAATAGCGAACACCGTCAAGTTTGAGGACTCCCCGAGATATCGAGGTAATCCCGCCTCACTCCCCCGCAAGGTTTCATCATCTCCTTTGGTGACGATCGTTTGCATATGGACCAACCTCGCGTACTGGTATCTTCTCTTTGTCAGTAGAGCACAAGATGTCGCGTCTGCATCAGCCCCGTTATCGCCGGGGTTTGAAGGCATCCCGGGATTTGAGCCACAACACCGACGCCCCAGACCGTGTGTCTTCGGGAATCGCATCCTGCCGGCGTACGCCGCAATTAGATGGATTCTCCGCTCATCTCGAATGATTGTGAGGCCATCCTATGAGAATCATGGATGCAATCGATCGCTTTGAGCAGATCGTCATGACTCAAAAAAAGACTCGCGTGGGAAAGAGCTTGAAAAACCGCCACTGGTTGCACTTTGACTGTGCGATCGGTAGCCATCCAAGCCTTTGCCTCACACCTGACCATGGCATCCACTCGTCCAATTGTGAAAGTGGCAGCCGTCCAGGCTGCTCCCGTTTCCTTCGATCTCGAAAAGAGCCTCGAGAAGCTGAGTAAGCTTACGGCGGAAGCCGCAGCGGCTGGTGCCGACCTCGTGGTGTTTCCGTAAGTACACAGTACCTATGCAAGAGCTTCGGTTTGGGTAACAAGATCGATTGCGCGTGTGTGTAGTGAAGGATTCTTGTCCGCTTATCCTTGGAGATATGCTTTCGATGCCACGATTGGCGCACGGGAGCCTCGAGGTAATCTTGACGCCGCCCTTGGTCTCTGAAGTCCGATGTTGATCTCGAGTAGGGCGCCAATGGTTTGCAAGGTACTTTGATTCGGCCATAGAAGTTCCTTCGCCTGCATTCGACATATTGTCCGAGACAGCTCGGAAGCACAATGTCCTACTGCATGTTGGCATTATCGAAAAGGCAGGTGGCACGCTTTACTGCACCGCGGTTCTTCTTGACCGGGAAGGCAAGTTGGTGTACAAGCATCGCAAGGTACTCATATTCAGCCCCCGTTGTGCACACTTTACTGATCACTGCAGCTGATCCCAACGGCTGCCGAGCGGCTGGTCTGGGGGCGAGGTTCTGGCGATGGCTTGCAGGTCCAGCAAACTGATATCGGCAAGGTCGGAAGCCTGATCTGGTTGGTCGATCAAGTGACAAGCTCAGTGACAAACAAGCTGATGCAGAAGCAGTTGGGAGAACTACATGCCAGCTGCGCGTATGGCGTTGTACCAACAGGGCATCGAGTGAGTGGCGGATTGAGGAGCCGAGATAACGACTTGTTCGGAACATTGTCACTGACGAACGCGACTCAGGATTTACGTCGCGCCCAATGCCGATGATTTGCCCGCATGGACAGCATCGATGCAGCACATTGCCAAAGAAGGACGTTGTTTTGTTGTGTCAGTCAACTCTGTGTGCAAGGTTTCAGACTTTCCGTCCGACTATCCGCCGTTTACGGCCGAGCACCCCGACCGGCGGCCGGACGGAGGGCAGTGGGAACCGGAAAACATTGTCAACCACGGAGGGTCCTGCATCGTCGGGCCGCTTGGAACAATGCTTGCCGAGCCTGTGTGGGACAAGGAGGAAATCGTCTATGCCGAGTTGAGAATGGCAGATATCACAGAGTCCAGGGTATGCCGTCCATTCGGAGCTTGGTGTCACTCCTAGTCAGTCGGCCGCATGCCATGTGCTAACAGCGTTTGACAGCTTGACTTTGACCCGGTCGGCAGTTATTCTCGGCCAGATGTATTGTGAGTCAATCACACCCGACGCAGGGGACGACAGGGCCGGAGGACGGTCTGGATGTGCGTCGATCAAAAGCTGACAGGCGGTCTAGTTCGTTGACGGTCAATACCAAGGCTGGAATCAACGTGGCATTTAGCAGCTGAGGCGGCGTCCCGACCGTGGCTGCGGGCGCTGAGAAACATGCGTGGGGGTGTTTTTGTTTGCGCTGGAGGCGGGGTTTTGTGCGGAGAGACCGGGACGGTTTGGGCTGGAGATTTATGGGACCTGACTCGGAGGTCGCATGTCTGGGCATGTCTGGCGGCGGCGTCGAGCTTCGGAGGTTGGCGGAGTCGCATGGGATCGGAACAGCTTGGTGGCATCGAGGTTCGAGAAGCTTTGCACGACGTCCAGTCGAGCTTGGCCCGACGAGTTGTGATGCACAACGTTCGGTGGCCGGTGTGTCGTGCATGGCGTAGGAGAGCCTATGTCTGCGCCTGTGCGTGGAAGCCTCGTGGTGTTTCTCGGGTGGCTTCTCGAATCCGTCTTCTTGGTCTGATGGTGTCAGGCAGAGAGAACCTGCTGTCCGTGTCGAGGAACCGAAGACCATCGACTCGTTGTTGAGTCGAGAGATGGGATGGCACTTGCAGGTCGAGCATATGACTTTTTCTCCAGAAGCAAACTTTGGGTGGCCACCGTGTCCGTGAAGCAGACATGGCTGGGAAATCTTAAATGCAGGCCTCGGTGCTGACAGAGAAGAAACCAGTCATTAAAGACGGTGGCTCTGCGATGCTGCGTGTAGATGAATCGTCCGCCCCAGCAGAGAAGCATCCATAGAGGTGATGGCTCGGGATGTTGATTCCGATCCTAGCTCCTGCTTCCTGTGGCTTGCCGTCCGTAGTAGCTGCTGTTTATGCAAGCACAACTGGTGCCGGGTGGCCTGACTCTGCTTGGCATCGTGAAAGTTTGCGAATCTTGGGGCAAGAGGCAAGAGGCAAGAGAGAGGCCAGATGGCAATGGTCACTTTGACTGCCAAATTGGAAGTCGCGATTTCTAGGAAAGCACCAAATTGAAGGTGCAACTTACCTTAAGGCACCTTAGGGGTCGGAAGCAGCTAGGCAAGACACAGCGGCAGCCAGAGGCAGGTACGGGCCGGCACGGTCAGGGCAGGCGGACCTTCCGCCAACGGGCGGCAGTAGCAGTCGAGGTGGAAGGCGCGGCGAGCAGCGGCGACTGCACCTGAGTTCCAACGAGCAAGTTCCTTGAACATCATCCCATTGGGACACACCAAAACACCCGCCCCGTTGAAGCCCTCGGTTTCTAGGCCGTGCCAGTTCGGAAACTTTGCTGTGCTGCATCCCTGTCAAAGACCGAGGCGGGCACTGGCAGCACTGTGCGCAAGTTTTCTCACTGGGGAAGACCAGACGTGCCAGAACGACGGCACCACCGTTGCGATTGGACAACTTTCTCGGCTAACCACGATCTGCCCCACACCAGCCCACCGTTCCATGGGTATCCCGGGGGAAGCTGCTTCCATTTCCACGTCCACAGGCAGCCGTACCTTTGTACCTTCTCCATCTCAACTCCCGAGCATGGAGTCGTGGTCGCAGCCAGCAGGCGCGTCAGAAAAAGCAGGACCTGGCCTGGCCTGGCTTGCCTGGCCTGCGGGAGGAGGCAGCAGCGAGGAGAGGGACGCAAAAAAAGGCGCAGGGCCAACAAAAGAAACAAAAATAATCCCCTCGAAATTCTCGCTCCCAACCCCTGCTCATGCGCTGCAAGCTCTGGCTACTGCCACGACGACGATCGAACCACCCATCCGTCATTGCCTCTTCGTCCCTAGCCTACCTTACCTAGTTGCCTGCCCTGAAGGTGCCTTCGTCCCTGCCTCACCCATCTCTACGGCGGCAGGTACATCTCTTTTTCCCCCCTCCACTCCACTCCACTCCAGGTCTCCTCCTGCCGGCGTTGGGTCGGTCTTCTTTTCTTTGCCCACCTCACCCTGTTGCTGCACCTGCACTCGGTGCACTCACTGGCCGCCCTGCGACTCGCCTTCCATCTCATTACAAATCTGGCCGGGTCGCCGCATTTTGCCCCTCCGCCTGCCGAAGCGAGTCGATCTGAAGCACCACCATCTGCAACTGCCCTTGAACTTCACCCGCGCCCGCTACCCGCACCACGCTCCCAGCAAGCACCAAGCACCCACCAACCGCTCCTCCTGCTGCACCAGCTGACGACACCAGCCGCTGCGTCTCCCAACAGCTGTCGGTCGCCCTTCAGTCACAGTCCCAGACACAGACAAGCAGACAGAGACAAACGTGAACGGCACCACTGGCCCTCCTCCGTCTCTCGCCTCCTTTCCCCGTCCAACGTTCGCTACTCGTCTCCCGGCTCGGCCGTTGCTGACCTCGCCGTACCTGGCTCCACGTCCTCTCTCCATCGAATTTATTACGTTTGCTTTCCCCGCTGTTGGCAGACCACGAGCCCCATCCAACCATCCCGCACACCCCGATCACCCAACTTGGACTTCGCCGTTGCCCGCTCCGTGACAGACCCCGACCGGCCCGGAAGGATTCTAGCTGCGCCTGCTCTTCGTCGCCGCGCCTCACCGTCGCTGGCCTTCATTCATTGACTTGTTCATCTTACATGTCGAATCCTCTCACCTGGCCATGACCACAATGACCGAAGCTGCAGTACCGCCAATTCCCGCTGCCGCGGCCAAGAAGAAGTTTGCGACCCCTCCTGTTAAGATTGCTTGCCTCTCCTGGTAAGTCGCCCTCTCCCAAGCCAAGCGCCAACTGTCCCTTCCGGATGAGTATGCGGCGCAGCAGAGCATGCTGCCGTTGCCAACGGGCGTGGCGTTCTTTGCGATGGTCAAGCAACCGTGGCTCACATAGGAACAGCCGAGCTTCACGAACACGATGCGATGGAGCAAGCCCTTGTGCCAGTGTAAGCATTTGCTGTTCCCAGTCTCAGGATTTGCTGTAAATCAAAACCGTCTTGTTAACATGAAGCAGTGTAAGAGCCGGGGGCGCGACTGCGTCTACAAACCGAGCAGAAGAGGAGGCGCTCGTGTGAGGCGGAAACCGCGGCCGGTTGATGAACTGGCTCAGCAGAACCCGGGCTTCAATGGCGACATGCCCGTCGATGAAGCCACTCCTCAAGACCGTGAGTCGTCATGCATGTAACTGTGACCGAGTAGACCTCTGACTGTAGCCGTAGCCATATCCCTCCAGAACTACATCGACCCTGGAGCAGGCCTGAAGCAGCTTCAAGACTTTTTCCAGGACAGCGATTACATCTTTGACACCTTGTTCATGTCTGGCGTCCCGGGAAGCACCAGCGGCGAAAGCGCATCGGAAGCCTCTTTCAACTTTCCCACTCCCCCGGTTCCTGTCGCTAGGACATACAAGAGCGACCAAGCCATGTAAGTCCTGTTGAATGACTTGAAAATACCAGCAGCTCACAATCTCACAGTCTGGATGCCTACTACATCTTCATTCATCCATTCTTCCCGATTCTCCCTCTGCCCAGCGGTCTGCCCATCGACCAGGCTGTGCCGCATTTCCAGAATGACACGGAGACATTCCAGGACGAGTACCAGCCCTCAACCCCGGTCAGCTTGGCTATATCCGCCATCTTGGCTCTGATTCCATGCGCCAACGACACCAACCACTTAAGCAAGGAGTCGGTCGTTTTCAGACGTCGATACGCCCAGTACCTGGCACAATGCGCAGTCGAGAGCATCGAAATCGAGTCCGAAATCCCCGACTCATCCATCGAGCCACCAAAGGCCCTGAACGAATCGCCAGATGATTTTCCCCGGCAGCAATTCCACCCTGGCGTGCCATTGGAGCTGGAAAGCGTCATCGCGCTGGACATCCTGAGCGTCTACGAGTATGCGCAGAGAGGCAACTTGAAGAAGATGCAAGCGAGGGCGGGCCAGGCACTGGTATCCGCCATGTCCCTAGGAATCCACGCCTGCACCGAGGACGACATTTTCGCCGAGGCTCGACGAAGAGTCTGGTGGATGACGGTGCGTTTTGCTGATCTAGATCTTGTATATATTGCTAACGCGGCGTCTGGCAGTATGTCTGTGTATGTCAAGGGTCCATCGTCAGCAATACTGTGTGTAATCCCCCTTCATCCCACTTGAAGCACTTACTGACGCTGTGGAGGAGCCGACCTTTTCAGTGTTTACGCCGAGCTACACGACCAAGTACCCGACCATCCAATCAGACCCTGAGGTATGTAGTCAACGTGCCTCTTCGGGGCCAAGACTCACCATTTAGCAGGCCTTTGCCGTGTATATTCAGGCCCAGCAGGCTATCCTGTCGGCAACACAGTTCGTGATTGAATTGAATAAGACGGTCAAGAGTGGTGGCGACATGACGCGCATCTACGCGAGGATGAAGGAGATGGAGCAATACTTGGAGCCCCTCAACACGGCTGCAGATTCGTGGATACTGCAATCCACCACGACGACGCCACTCGATCCCACTGAGGAGATCCTTTCCCGGTCTCTCAGATGCATGGCTCGGATCAAGCTGAACAGGCGAGTATCTCCTATCAAACTCCGAGCAATTGCTGACCACCAACAGCGCGCGGATCAAGATCCACCGTTACTGTGCCTTCTTTGACATGCCCGTGTTTTCAGGAAAGCACTGCGACTTGAAGTCCAAGGCCGACAATGACAACGGTATCGAGCCCAAGTCGTGGCCTTCGTGCTCCTGTAGCACGATGATGACCCTACCTTCGCCGCCAGTGACCAGCTTAAATGGAACGGCCTCGCCACCAAACTCGGGAAAGAGATCTCCTCAGTCGGACCACTCACCCAATGGGAGCCCGCTGGCGACTTTTCCTTTCAGCAGCCACCAGTCGGCTAAGATTTGCCTCAAAGCGGCTATCAACATTGCCAATTCGTTCGACGACTTGCCATACCCGAACCCCTTTGGCCAGCTCTGCCCTGCGCCGTGCTATCTGTCGCCCACGTCGACTATTGTGTGCCCTAGGACCATGCCTTCCTTCGCTTGCTGCGCCATGCAGTGCGCGTATGCATTGCTGATGGTCAACCACAAAACAAAGGCCATGTATCCCGAGAATGCCCTGACAACCCCGATGGTGGAGAGCTTGCTTTTGCGCCTGCAGACGGGCTTGGCCTCCATCTCCGCGACGCTTGAAAACTATGCTACGGCCTTTGAGGCCCTCGGCGGGATGCGCGGTGAGACAAACCCCCTGCAATCTATCTATCGGTAACCTGCACATGCTAATTTCCTCCTGCAGACCAAATTCGCAGTGTTATCGAACCCACCATGATGTTCGATCCCACGGTCTAGGAAACGGCCGAAACGACCTGACCTGCGGTCGCCCATTCGCTTCCGGTCTCCTTGCAGGGAGCCTGCATATCGCCTGCATCTCGCGTCCACGCGTGACGGCATCCCACGGCATCTCAATGGGATCTGGGCGCGGGCTCTGAGTGGGTTTCGGGAATATCTGTACGAAAAGGGGGGCATCGCGGGGTTTGCTCGTTTATCAGCAAAGGCCGGCGATCGATCAACCCCCCGTTGCACGACGACGCAATGCAATGCCATGCGATCTGGGTATCATGCTGGAGGGGTATCGAACGATTGAAACGAAATGATGGAGTTGCTTCAAGGGCGTTTTGGGAGCATTTAAGATATTGGGCTTTGCCTGAGACGTTTGCCTGTGTTGGAGCAAAAGTTTCAACGATTTCGGAGTTGAACCGAGACTCAAAGCGACGACTTAGACTATTATTACCCCTCTCAATCATTCCTTACCTTTTTTTTCGTCCGTTCAAGATGCCTGTCTCTGGTTCTCTGAGTAACGTCGATTGGTGAGGATCCCGGCCGGCTTTTGGGCCTTCAAAAACTGACTCATTGGCCGAACAGGGAGCCGGATTTCGCCACGCTCGCCGTCCACGGTGGCCAAGAGCCGGATCCCGTCAACGGTTCAAGAGCGGTCCCTCTGTATCAGACAGCCGCCTACAACTTTTCCGATGCTGCTGGTGAGGACTTGGTGTGTCACGGTGACACAAGGCACGGCTAACGAGTAGCAGATGGCGCCAGCAAGTTTGCATGGAGCAAAGATGGCTACGTCTACACGCGCATGGGCAACCCGACCAACAGCGTCTTCGAGTCACGCATGGCGATGCTCGAGGGCGGCGTCGGTGCCGTGGCCGCCGCCTCGGGCCACGCCGCGCAGTTCATGGCCCTCACGAATTGCTGTGAGCCAGGCCAGAACTTTGTGAGCACCAGCTGGCTGTACGGCGGCACCTACAACCAGTTCCGAGTATACATGAAGAAGTTCCATATCGACGTCAAGTGGGTTGTGGGCAACGAGCCTGCCGATATCGATGCGGCCATCGACGAGAACACGCGGTGCGTCTACATCGAGACTATCAGCAACCCGAAGCACAGCGTGCCCGATATCAAAGCGATTGCGGACGTCGCACACAAGCATGGCATCCCGCTCATCGTCGACAACACGTTCGGCATGGGCGGCTACCTGTGCCAGCCCATCAGGCAGGGCGCCGACATTGTCACGCACTCCTGCACCAAGTGGATCGGCGGCCACGGCACGTCCATGGGAGGCATCGTCATCGACGGCGGCCACTTTGACTGGAGCGCCTCGGGTAAGTTCCCAGGATTCACGGAGCCGGCGGACGGATACCACGGGCTGAAGTTCTGGGACACGTACGGATACAAGGCTCTCTCAGCCAAGGTTCGCATGGACAGCATGCGCGACTTGGGACCCTGCATGAGTCCCTTTAACGCGTGGCTCTTCCTGCAAGGACTCGAGACTCTCGCCCTTCGAGGACAACGCCACGCGGAGAACACACAGAAGCTGGCCGAGTGGCTCGAGGCGCATCCCAGCGTCAACTGGGTGCTCTACCCCGGCCTCAAGTCGCACCCCGACTACGAGTACACCAAGAAGGTCTTTACCAATGGCGCAGGCGGTGTCCTGACCTTTGGCGTCGTAAGTCTACTTCCCCATATATTCTCCTGGGCCTCAGCTAACCACACCGCCAGGCCGGCAACATCGACCAAGTGCGTGCTGTCGTCGACAACCTCAAGCTGTGCTCGCACCTCGCCAACGTCGGCGACGCCAAGACGCTCATCATCCACCCGTGGGTGACGACGCACCAGCAGCTGCCCGACGAGGAGAAGATCAAGGGCGGCGTGACGCCGGACCTCATCCGCGTGTCGGTCGGCATCGAGGGCTTCGAGGACATCAAGAAGGACTTTGAGCAGGCGTTCGCGGCGGCCGGGCTGCCGGCGGCGGTGAAGACGGGCGGGGACCCGTTCGCGGCGGCGCTGAACCTCGTGTCGGGCGGGTTCATGGGGAAGAGCTCGACGGGCGCGCCGAGACCCGGGACGGACGGCACGGTGCAGGTTAGCGCTTGAGATGGGTTATGAGGGAAGCGAACTTTTTTGAAAGCATCTAGTTTCGTTTTTGGTGGCAGCGTCCAGGAATAAAAAGACTTTCAATTTTGCTGAAGATATGGCATTTGGCCAAGAGGAGAGAAGCCCCCCACGTCTGTATCTGCGTCCGGCCATCCCCCGGGATCTCAGACATTGAGATGCGTGTCATCGGCGGAGCTGTCGTGCAGCAAGGTGCCGGTCCCAGTGCTACCCCTCCCGCGTGGGGCGGGCAGAGAGAGACAGAAAGAGCTTAATCGCACCTCCTTCTCGAGGAACCTTGACGGTTCTTTTGCAACAGTGAGTGGAAATAACCTTGTGGGTGTGATGGAAGTTTGGAGCTATTAAAAGGCTTCTCCCGCTGGTTTCACTGCAAACCATCAGATGACATCAGCGCAAACACAAAAGGGACGACCCCTCACCATATCAGAAGCCAATATGCCTCCTGCAAACCATAACGTCAACCCACTAGTCACCACGGGCATCGTCAAGCCTAGTATCCTGTGTACTGCTCCCAACACTGCGTCGGCAATAGGCAGCAGCACCGCACGCGATAGTTCTTACTACGCCCAGGCGGATAGGTGGACTGCGCCCCGACCGGCGGAATCTCAAACTGAGGGCGACCTCGTCTCCGATTACATCGCCCATTCTGCCCCCCCGTTCGTCGTTATCCGTGTCTCCCGCTCGCCTGTCGCAGCGGAGACATCGAGCACTTCCCTCACCCCCGACGAGGAGGAAAAGGAAGCAGACGAGGGTAGCAAAGACGCAGACAAAGAAGCGCCAACACATACACCCACCAGGCCGACAACAATGCCGCAGCGCAAGCCGTACGACGGGGGCGGCATCGTGCCCCCGCACATCCGCACGGCCATCGCCGAAAGCAAGAACGCATCCACATCCGCGACGGAGGCCGCAAAGACACCCGAGACCAACCCCGCCGGCAAGGAGATTCGCGCAGAGGAGTTTACGCGCAGCGGCTTCGTGCCCGCCTACGTGCTGAAGAACATCGCGACAAGCGAGGCGTCGACGGCTGAGCAGCGCGCGGATGCGCAGGGGACGTTGGATACGGACGAGGCGCGGCGGGAGCGTGGGAAGGATCGGGATGCGGAAGGGCAGGGGGAGAAGTGATTGCGCGCGGATTGACGACCAGATTGCAGAATTCAACACAAAACACTTGACCGCGTTCTAGAAACACGGTGACCTGTTCCGCGTCCAAAGATGGAATCATGCTGGACCCCTGGAACGCACCCATCGCGGGGTCCACCGCCAATTTTGGCGCGATTCGGGTGCGACTGACCAACACCTCGCGCCCATTCGCTCATTGAAAAATGTACGTTGTCCCCCCGGTCGGATCATTCGACAATCGGGAACCCGCGGCGGCAGGGTCAGCATCAACGCAGCCAGCCCGCCCCGTTCCGATCTGACGGTGCTTGTGTTGAATGGATGCTGCCATTTTTTGAAGGGTCGCGTGCACCCCGCCAAAACTTTGTGCCTGCGCGGTGGGTCCAACGCTGCCAGCTTTCAACGTGCTGGACGAGTGCTTCCAACTCAGCCCGAAAGGTGGCGCCAGTTGCAAATCAGACCACCATCATTCGGTCCCGCTTCCCTTCCCATTTCCTCCCTGGTGCCATCAGCTCATCGGCGCATTATGACGCCAGCGCGACAAAGCGTAGGGAGCTGTGAGAGTGGTTTTCGCGATGTTCAAATATCGTGTGGTCCCTGATGTCGAGTTTGGTGAAGAAGTTCTAGGATTTGAATGCAGCAGCAAGAAACGCAGCAATTTGGCTTTTTCGGAGATAAGATCGTTGTCGCCGTGACGTACACGAACCATCGCCAACAACATCACGACCACACCGTTAACTTGAGTCGCATCCGATAAACGAGAAAGAAAAGCAACAACACCGCCAGAATGGGTCTCATGCGCCACATGAACCATGTCGACCGCGAGGAGCTCTACACAGACCTCGAGGCCCGCATCCGCTACCTCCACAGCTTCCTCGACTTCTCCTCCAGTCCGTCATCCCCCTCCCCTGCCCTGCCCATCTCCCACTCGCCGTCTTCCACACACAAACTAACACCCCGCCGCAGAAGACATCGAAGCCCTCATCTCGGGCGCCAAATACGTCAAAGCCCTCATCCCCGCCGTCGTCAACATCGTCTACCACAAACTCCTGCAGTACGACATCACCGCGCGCGCCTTCACCACGCGCTCCACCTCCTTCGAGGGCCCCATGGATGAGGTCCCCGACGATAACTCCCCGCAGATCCTGCACCGCAAGATGTTCCTGCGCGCGTACCTCGCCAAGCTGTGCTCCGACCCGAGCAAGATGGAGTTCTGGGAGTACCTCGACAAGGTCGGCATGATGCACGTCGGGCTCGGCCGCGCGCACCCGCTGCATGTGGAGTACATCCACCTCGGCGCGTGTTTGTCCTTTATTCAAGATGTGATGACGGAGGCGATTTTGAGTCATCCGAGGTTGCATATGCAGCGCAAGATTGCGCTGGTCAAGGCGCTGGGGAAGGTGATTTGGATCCAGAATGATCTGATGGCGAAGTGGCATGTCAAGGATGGTGCGGAGTTTGAGAGGGAGGGAGGGGAGGAGCCGGTGATTGAGGAGGAGGGGTATCTTCATGGACGGAAGATTTTGGAGAGCGAGAGCGATGAGGAGACGGTCGCGGCGGGGCCGAGGAGCCCGTCGAGGATACCCAGGACCGAGGGCGTGTGTCCGTTTACGGGGATTGCGAAGGGGGTGGAGGGGTTGAAGGTGGATGGGGAGAAGGAGGAGAGGGTTGAGGCTTCGGCGTAGATGAAGGCATGATATGGCGTTTTAGGGATATGCATGGGCTTGGGTTTGGATTAGAATAACGATTTCATGGTTCATTTCAGTTGCCTGGTCTTGATGCGTCTGAGGTGATGATGATGCCTGTCGTTCTGTCTGGGGACAGGTGATGGCATCCTACACCATTGAGATGCGTCCATCATCGAGGAGAGGCAGTGTGGCACGAAGACAAAGCCATCAACGCAGTGAAAGGGAACAAGACACTTTGTTTGAAAGCATCACTGGCAAAGGACGGCATCGCCCAGCGAAGGTTCTCGAAAAGTCTGTTTCATCTATCTAAGGAACAAAGCGAAAGTCTTCCAAGCTGTCTGAACTCAAAACACAGCATCTTGTCCATTTAATTCCACCCGCCAATTTTGCCAACCCGATTTCTCTTGCTGAAAGATCCATGATATCAACGCGTCGAGAGGACCACGCCCTTCTTCAAAGAGAATCTTTGGCCAAAGCCCAGCCTTATCAAAGGTTGCTCTGCCCTGTCAACACACACACACTTCGGTATCCCGACATTTCACACAATGCAAAATCACACTTGGGAGTCCGGTCCCTCCGTCCGACGTCTCTTCCGGCCTTGGTGCATCGAGACCTGGCCGAGCACATTTTCCATCGTTCCCCTCAGCTCCTCGAGCTTCGTCTCTAAGTTTTCAGTGTATGCGTCCTTGTCGTGGAACCGCTTCTCCATGTTTGCGGTTGCGGCCACCTTCTCGGCGTACTTCTTTTCCACTTCTTGCATCTCCCTCTTGATCTTTTCGACTTCCAGCTTGGCCTTGGAAATCTTGTCCGAGAAGGTCTCCTCCGATTCTAACATCTTCCACTTTGCCGCCTCCGATTCGGAAGTCAAGTTAGCGATCTTGGTCGTGTATTCGTCGCACTTTCTGGACAGCTCTAATACTCTCATGCCGTCGTCGCGTTCGCGGTCTTGGCGCATGCACCTGTCTCTCTTGATGGCATCTAGCTCACGCTGAAGTCCATCTGCCCGGTCCTGCGCTCTGCGGGCAATGTTGCGCTGGACTTCAAGATCCTGGGAAAGCGTCAAGCTGGGTGGATACTGGGAGAACATCAATGGTTGATGTTGCTGAGAGCTGGTTTTGCTTTGGTCACTGACTGTGCCTTGCTGGAGCTGATTGATGAGCTCGTCCTTTTCGCGAATCTTACTTCTCATTCCGATCATTTCATCTTCGGCTCGGCGACTTTTGTCATTCTTCAGCCTGATCTCCAACTCAAGCTTGCTGATGGTCTGCTTTGCATGGCATGACTGGGCTTCGTAATTCAGCGCCTTTTCCGGGAGGCTGGTAGCGTACTGGTCAACACTTCTCTTGGCATTCTCAAGCCTTACGTTGTGGAACTTGAGTTGTTCAACCTGAGCTAGCAGCTCCTTCTGGTCGTTCGTGTTCTTTGTCTTCAGGATTTGAATATTACGTTCCAGGACCTTGACCTCGGCAGACATTTCCTTAATCTCCTGAAGATTGTCGTCGTTGGCCTCTGTGTTCTTCTTCTCCAAATGCTTGACCCGGTCTCTAAGGGCAATATTGGTGTTTTGAAGGGCCTGGAGATTCTTTTTGTCGGCAAGGTGGCTTTCCTGAAGTTCCTCGTTTGCCTTTCTCAGGTCTTTGAGGCGCTTCTCAAAATCTCCATTGGATCTTCGGCTGTTGTCTTGCACCGCTTGAAGCAACTTGGCTGAACGCTGCTTGTCTTCCTGTAGCAATCTCTTGTCTTCTTTCAGCAATCTCTTTTCCTCCTTCAGCGCGGTGACCTCGCCTTCCATCTGCGACCTGGAGATCTCATCCTCCGAGGTTAGGTCGATGGCATCGATGTCGCTGGCCTTTTTACGCGCAGCATCCTTCCACTTTTTCTTGGATTCCTTTTCCTTGACGAGCTCGCTGGACACCTCCTCGAGCAGTCGACGAAGGGCCTTAGTCTGCTTCTCAGGATCTTGACGAAGTACCTCGGCATCAATTTCAGCATCTTGAATCGCATTCTTCTTTGTCTTCTTCTTGTTCTTGCGTTGAAGCGCCAGCACCTCTTGCTCGTAGGCCTTCTGAATGATTCTGAGTCGGGTCGTTTCCCAAGACAGCCTAGGTTTGGCGTGTGCTCTGTCCAGCGCGTTGGACTCCTTGTCGCAACAATGTCGATAGCACTCTCCGCCGCTGGTGACCTGGATCCATCGCAGCTCCGGGGCACCGGGCAGCTCCTCTTCGCTCTCGGTCGGGTGGACGTCGCATGCTCGCGTGATGACGTAGCCATTGCAGCGCGGGTCTTGCTTCTGCTTCGCGGTGATGGTGATCGCGACAATATCCATGATGCGATTGCCGCGACGCGTGACGTCGATGACGAACTTGTAACCCCCGGATGAGACGCGTAAGGTGCTTGCGCTGCCGGGATTCATGTGCAGGAAGACGTTGAGGCCATCTTCGGTCGAGGCGGGGAAGGTGTAGTTGGCTGCGATGTGTCGAATCACTGCCTCCCAGCGGGCCCAGCAGTCGCTGGCGAGCTTGACGCTCATGATGGCGATTTTGATAGGAAGCCGGCGACGTTGATGGCGATGACGGCAAGTACAAAGAGCGGAGAAAGATGCTTGGAATGGGAAGCTGTATGGGACGTTGTCACGCTGCTCTGAAAGAGAAGAAGCTATTGAAGAATCAGAGCTGCTCAGGGGAGGATGTTTGTGAAATCGAGTCGGCCGGTGCAAAACGAAAAGTCTACCTGTCTGTGAAAAGGTCAACGTCCCGAAACTTTTGCAGCCAGGAAGAATTTTCAGGAAGCTCAGGTTGGCTGCTTCCTGATTTGCAACAGGCGGGAGGCTGAAGGAAAACGGCAGGTGCGACTCAACGCAAAGGGAGTGGTTACCTACGGGACGGTTCTGGGGCAGAAGGTGAAGTCGAGCTGAAGTGGAATCCAGCAAGGAATATTAAAGAATGCAGTTGAAATCTATGAACAGACTTCGAACTCGTTCCGATCTATCTAGGCATGAGCCCAATGAAGTAACCATGACAATGTCAAAACGACGCCCATGCCCAGTGATTTATAATTCTCGCAAGCCCATGTCCTTCCCAATAAGCCATCATCCTGGCCAACCTCAGTAATCAAAGTCCCCTCCCTCAGTACGGCGTCTCTTGCGTCCCTGGAACATTGAAACACGTCTGAGGGCAATCTCCATGGTTTCTCTCATGTTCTCGCGGTGCTCCTTGCCCTTGCTAAGCACCTCTTCCATCGCTCCTCTCAGGCTCTCGACATGCCCCTCAACGCTGTTCAGATATGGTTCCTTGTCCTTGCATGCGCATTTTCCCTCCGTGCCTCCGGTCTCCTTGAGCTCCTGGGCGTGCTTCTCTGTGGCCGAAGCCAGCTCATCGGTCCTGCTCTTCAACTCCTGTCTCGTGGTTTCGAGCTCTTTCTCCAAGTGGACGAGTTGATGATGTTTGTCCGAGCTCTGCATTGCGGTATATGCATTGTTCTTGATGATGCTGAGATATTGAGCCAGCTGCTTCTCCAGCTGGACAATCTTGTCCGACTTGTTCAACAAATCGTTCTTTGTTTCCTCCAGCTCGTTCTTGAGACTGGACACCTCGTCTCGGCCGCTCGTGAGACTGTTTCCCTTTCCATTTGAGGCGTCGATCGAATCAAGAGCTCCGCCATGTCTGCCTTCTTCTTTGCTGAGGTGGGATGATGAAGGCATCGGGAGTTTAATCACCAAGCGCTGCTTAGATTTGGGCGGCTGCTCTTGCAGTCTGGTCAGCTGCTGTTGAAGGTCACGGATTCGGCTGTCTTTGTCTGCAACCTCGCCACCGGTCATGTGACAAAACTTCTTGAACTCGTTTCTTTCCTTCTCAAGTTGTTCGTAGGTTGCAAATCGAATCTTCTCGACCTGCCGAATACAATCTCTGGCAAGCTGCATCTCGGTCTTGTCATCGGACAATCGGTCAGTCAGTCTCTGCAAACCTCCCTCTGTGTCCTGAGCACGGCGCCGAAGAGCGTCGAAATCCTGCTGCAACCTGGCGTTGCTCGTCTGAAGACGCTGGTTCTCCGATTCAAGCTGTGCCTTCACCTGCAAGTGACTCTGCTTCATTGTCTTGATCTTATCCTCTCTGGCCTTGAGCATCTCCTTCAGCTCATGGATTTCCTTCTTGCTGCTGTTCAGGGCCACTAATCTCATCCGTAGAAGCCCAGGTCCAATCGACGCGTTCTTCTCCGTCGCTTGATGCTCAAATTCACCTCCCCTCAAGCTATGAAATCCTTTCTTCTCTTGTACTAGTCTGCGATGGGATGTGATTGTGATCGATCGGTTGGTAATGTGACTAAGACCTGACCAGATGGCTCCTGAATGGATGCATTTGGCACCATTTGACTGTCGAGGACTTCATCCTCTATCTGAAGGTCGTCGGGAATCTTCCGATGTGGCAAGTTGATGTTCATGAAAACATGAAGGCGATGGACCTGTTTGCGTCTTTTTTCCAGCATGCGGTTTCTGATCTTCATCTTGTTCAACAGCTCAGGAACTTTGGTGTCTTCCAAGTGACTCAGTCTTGCCTTCACATGTTCCATCTCGGTGTTTTGTGAATCGACCATCGATTTCAGCATGTTGTTCTCAGTTCTGAGGTCATCAATCTCGTCTTCGTCGATCTTCATAGCTGACTCCAGGTGTTTCTCGAGACTGTCAGTGCGGAGGGTCGCCTTGTTGTTCTTCTGCCTGGCAACTTGGTCCCGCAGGCTTTGCAAAGAGACATCCTTGACTGCATACTCGCGTCGCAGGTCATCCATTGTCTTGTCTTTTTGAGTGACAAGCATTTTCTGCTCCAGTAGTTCCGCGCGTAAATTCGTAATTTCTTCTTCAAGGCTGATTGCTCGATCCTCTGCCTCGGCTTTCGCGTCCTTGTACTTCGCGGCCTTTGCCTTGCTCTTGCGGAGCCGCTTGGCGGTCGGCGAGTCTTCGATGTCGTCATCAATGACGATGACCTCTGATGCCTTTCTTTTGGTCGATTTATCGTTCTTCTGCTCTTCCAGCTCGTGGCGCAGTGAGACAATCTCTTGGGAAAGCGAGCGCTGGTTGATGGTGAGTCGCGTGCTCTCCCAGCTTCTCCAGGGAACATGCGCAGGAAAGGGTCCAGTCACCTCTTCTCTGCAGCAGTGCTGAAAGCTTCGGCCGTCGCTGGTGACCTTGAACCAAGTCAAATCACGACCCTCCACAGCTTTTTTCGGGCTCTCGACGTTGTGAATGTCGCACTTTCGATTGATGACCCATCCTTCCAGTCCCATCTTTTGTCCTCTGGCAATGACGGAGATGCTGACAACATCTTCGATAGCATCGCCAGAGCGGATCGTGTCCATGACAAATCGCCAGCGGTCGCGAGTGTTGCGGATCGAAAATCCTTCGCCTCCATAGAGCGCTAGGAGGGCGTTTAAGTTGCGCCTCGTGTTGAAGGGAAAGTCGTAGTTGGCATAAAGCTCCTCAATCACTGGCTGCCATCTGGCCCAGGCGTCTGAGGTGATGTGGATCGGCATGTTGACAAGCAGAGAAGGGTAGGATACTCGCGATGCGGCGTTGGGCGATTGATGAATTCTGGATGACCTGGAAGAAAATATGTCAGTCAGACCGAAATATGCAACGAGAGTGAGATTTTTAACCTGGATCAAATGAACCACCACGCTTGCTTCTGTGCCAATCTGTCTGTAGGTGAAGTCGAATTGAGCGGAGTGGAGGTAGACGAGTGCAAAACTTTGTGAAAGACTTTGGAGGCGCGTTTGCGGTCAATGCGATGCTGAGGCCGTCAAGTTGATGTTTGCTCGGATTAGATCGATGCAAGATATGCGAGATGTCGGCGAATCTCTGCAAAATTCCCGATCGCCAGTTTCTCGGATTGAAACAGGTAGAGGTTGGTGCAGCCCTGAAGTGTTGGTTGCCTCGGAGATGATGGTGATTTGAAAGAAAAGGCTAGCGAAGCAGCTGGATCTGCTTTCGTTGAATGAACTGGCAGGAGGAAGGAAGGGGCACCTGCTCTTGCCTTATGGAAGGACACTTCAGACAGCCACTGGGTGAACAGGACAGCCCCATGAACAAAGCTCTTTTCGGACGAGGCGCTGTGAAAGAGTGTTCCATTATCCTGCTGAATGCCCATCGGGTTTGAAACATTCTTGAACACCCCTACGATGTCAAAATAGCATCCAAATAAGAAAATCCCTCCAGGCATATAGTACATATTCGGTGTCAAGGTCAGGTCATCTGCTTGCCTCTCCCTGATGTTCCCATTGGTTCTAACCCTTTTCCCATCTTTCTTTCCGTGGCCTTCAACGACCAACTACCACCCCATACTAATTTAAGGACTTCTATGGCGACTGTTCATAGCGTCTTCCATCGGTGCTGCTACTCTGAAGTTCGCTGTTCACAACGCGGTACAGTTCTGAGATTAATACGTCTCCCCAATGGTTAAGAATTTAAACTACTGGGTGTCACTGCTATACTTGTATGTTTGTGCATATGGAAATGTTCAATATTTCTGATCTGCCCTAATAGGTCGTACTTTGTTATGTTGCGTTATCTAATATTACTTGAATGCAATTGAGGTTACGCTCAACTTTCATTACCTAGGTAAACGCAGAAATACTGCCGGAGGTCTTCCTCTTGATCGTATGGTATATTTAGGCTAAGGTAGACATAAAAGTGTTCTTCGCCCCGTAACCACACTCAGGCTGTTGGTACAGCCGTCTCGGGAGCAATCACAGCAGCCAAACACGAGAACGGGTCAGGTCTCGGCGGCGAATCTGCCCTGGCAGCATAGATATGTGCCGCTGCCGAACCACCACAATTCATGCTTGCCCGTCCCGTGCACCCAATATTACGGTTTGCATCAGTATTCAGGGCCGTTGCCGCCGCATCCATGCTCGTACCGCAGCGGCCGCTGTCACCGTTGGTCACTCCGAATACGCCAGCAGACAGAACGACGCGCAGTTGTTGACGGTGTTGATGGTGGCCCATGCCGCGTTCGGTCCAAAGCCGACGACTAAGGCCGAGCTGGTGAGGCAGCTGACGATGACCCACCGGAAGGTGAGCTAAGTGTCGTACAAGATGGTGCATGTAAAGGGACTGGCCCTAGATTTGGCCAGGGGCACAATCTGATGTTGAGAGCTGGACCGAGTTGATGGACACTTGGTCGCTGTAGAGGCATGTTTCGGCCTAGCCCTTGAGGACTGCTTCATAGGACTTATTCCCTCACGACGCACTCGCTTTGAGCACCTTCAAATGCCGTTTTGTTCCCTGCGTCCGCCTTTATGATGACCGAGATACGTCTTTGAGAGATCCAAATATAGCATGCCATTCTTCCAACGCCTACACTTGCTTGCTAGACACATATGAAAAGTCTTATGTAGGCACTTATGAGTAGAGTATCGCTCTGAATTCCTCAGGGAAAACGACAGCTTGAACCAAAAGGGCATCCAGCACGGCCCGGACCGCATTGCGCAGGCTAAGTAGACTAGGTATCAGCGACCGCCCCATAACTAAGTCGACAAAGCTTAACTTACATCGCTTCGAGCAATATTGAAGGGTACACAAAAGCCTGTCGTACCCTCACCGCCAATATGGGCGCACGTGTCTACCGCTTTCTGGGCGCAATTCTGCTGTTCCTCGAGAGGACCACATTTTTGAGGCTTTCTCCCGTATTAGCAAGCTATGCAGAATGAATTCAATTGGAAGAACATACATTGGTGATGTCAACCGGTACGCAAAGACCTAACTGTGCTCGGGCTGAGGTGAACAGGAGCCCAGCGTAGGTAAGAGTTGCCAGGAAATGCATGGTCATGAGTGTAAATGTATGTTGCTGTACGGCTGAAGCGGATGATAGTACCAATCCCAATCGATGACTAGAGCAGAGACGCGACCCTTCTTATGTTAGATGACAGAGTACGTTGGTGAGTGTAGTGTGTAGAGTTGTGTCTGCGTGCAGTATTCAATCAGACGAACGGTTTGATAGACATAGGCAAGGGATTGTCACTTCTGAGTTCTGCTGATAGAGTTTGGGTTACAATGAGTGTATTTCCAAGGGTCATGACTAGATATGCTGTGGCGTTAGGGGTCAATGAAACCCACAGACTGTGTATCAGGGGGTCTGGCAGATAACAGAAAGCTCTGGGGATAGTCAGCTGTAAGAGGTTTCAGGCCAACTTATTTGACTCGCGACGCCCACCGCATGCAATGGTTACTTAGTTTGATCTGCTGCTCTTTGGAAGTGAATTTTGAGTTTCGGCATGCCCCCACTTGATGTAAGTGACTGCGCTTTCGCTTTCGCTGGTCTACATGTAGTACCTAGATATGATTTGGTGTCTCAAGATATCTCTGTTGAGTTTTTGGCTCGACACAACCTTAGCTTAACATCACCTCGGCCGCTTGCGCTTGCTAACGGTTTGATGCTTACTGGGTTTAGATATTGCCTGGTGCCATGCCGACAATATGGATCAAGTCCGAACGTGAGTTGCACCCACTGTTCCTTCTTTACTTATATCACACTTCCGCTCAGAACATGGCTTTTTTTCCGCGTGAGAATAGAGGGAGTATTCGTTCTTGAAACAGGTCTTGCCGAAGGTGTCGAGGGTCGCCGACTGCTCGTCGGTCATGAACGGACCCAGCAGGATTTGTGAACCGTCGTATGGGTTAGACCGGCGTCCGTGGGATTCTTTTCTGTAGTTTCCGCCGCTTGAGCCTGCGTCGGGGTTGAAGATGGGAGACGTACATTGGCGCAGCCGGGCATGATTGAGGCAGAGCAGCCGCCTGAAGCTTTGGCGTCGAATCACGGGCTTACCTCGGCGAACAGCGAGAGTCCAATGGTGTAGACCATGATGATCAAGGCGGACATGTCGTCTTGCTGCGTTACGTACCAGAGGCCGCACTCTACGGTCATCTTGGGAGCTTCGGTGGCCCTGAACGGGGTGTTCGCGGCGATGGAGCTGTAGTTAGCCGTACCGCCTCCAGGGATGTTTGGCGTGGTGATGGCCGTGCCGGGCACATAGGCATAGCCATGCAGAGTCACGCAGACGACGGAGCCCAATGTTGCGTTGGCCTCGTTGAGGTCGTCGCAGTCATAGTTGATCCACGAGTTATACCGTGCAATATCCTCAATGCCCGGACTGGCAAAGACACGGAAGTAGTCACATATGGACTTGAGGGCATAGGTCTCGCAGTTAAAGAGGACGGCAGATGGTCAGGTCGGCAGGCAGGTCATGTAGCCGTGGGTGGCACCGGCAACTACAGCACCGCAGAAGACATTCGCCGACGAGACACAATTTGCCAGGGCGATAGATTTGCAAGCATCTACAGCATATGCGGTGTTAGTACCTATACGTCCAAGACGCGAAAGGGTCGGGCGTGGATTCAGGGGCGGTGTCGTCGCAGAACGCCGGTCCACCCCCCTTCACCGAGCATTGCGTCTGGATCGTCTCGAGCGCCATCTGGTACCAGGGCACCGTGTCAAAGACCGACTAAGTGCTCTGGTGCATCATGCGGGCGCGACATCTGTGGAGACCACCACTGATGACATCCAAGATATTCGTGCATCTGTTACACGAAGCGACCACGCATGGAATTTGCAGAGCAGTCAGCGAAGGTCAGATCGTCATATGTACCATATTTGATGTGGTAATGCAGTTATTATCCTGCGCCGCCTTGAGACACTCCGCGTTCTGGCTATAGCTGTCGTTGGCACCGCTCACTTGGATATACGAGTCCCAAAGACCGACCGACCCCTAAGAAGACTTGTGGATGTTCCACTCTACCAGCACGGCGCCGGCCGTTGTCCTCGGACAGTGAAGTCCATGCACTAAACCTTGTTTTACAAAGTCCTTCCCTCCCTAAAAGCAGCCCTCGCGGCAGCACTAGCCGCATCAGCCCTCACCTCGTATCCCTGCCTCTGCTCCTCAGGTAAGGCCTCCCATCTTCTCAACACCTCTTGCCAATCCGTGTCTTGCTCATCACGAAATACAATCAGTCCCGTGATAATCTTCGGCCGGGCAGGCACCCCAAGAAGCCTCTCTCCACGTCTCGCAAGGCCTGCCAAGTTCCTCGCACAGGGAAGAGCAGTAGGCGACGTATCCTCAGACACATTTGCCTCATGCTGAGCCCAAGCCTCGTGACGCAACGTCTCGGACCGCGCGCGGTAAGCTGCCTTTTGGTTTTCGGATAGTGCAGTCCAGCCAGGCTCGACTTCATAGCCTGAGACGCCCGCTTCATTAGCGAAGATTGTAATTGGATTTTGCGGCCTAGCAGTGGGCGGCCAGGGACCGGATCCGAAGCGGTCAGCATTCAATGGAGGAGTTACCGCGGGCCATGGTGATTGGAATCCGTTGGGGGGAAACAGAGACGGAACCTGGGAAGAAGACCGGAGAGCAGCGACATATTCGCTGTTTTGAGCGGCTACCTCCTCGTCTGTGATGTTGCCGAGCCGATGCTGCTCATGGAGACCCGTCATGGCGCTGACGATCTCGCTAGGCTGTTGTCTCTGTCCTAAGTGACCCTGCGACGCGAAAACCTCCGGTCTTGGCATTGGAAAAGACTGCACCAGACTGGGACCAGGAAACGTCGATGCCATCTGCCGCATCGGGTACATCTGGCCCACTTGACGCATTAAAGCGGCATGAAAGACAGCAAAGTCCAGTCCCAACATGCTTGATAGCATTTCAGCGGCCTGTGCGACCCCGGGCTGGGCGAGTGCTCGCGACATACCGACCTCGGAAAAGGTTGGGTCGTCTCTGGCGTGGAAGCGGCGTGCTAGCAGCGTAACCTCATCGTCGTTCAGCATCGTGTTGAACTGGCCGCGGTCTAGGGCATCCTTCCCCTTGGCTTAGAGCTCGATTGGTGTACTGAGCTGTCTACCAGTAGCTCGTTGGATGTTGGCGAGTACAAGATCTGGCGACGGCCAGAGGAGGGCCTGGTGCATCTCTGTCGTGAGAGAGTCGGGACGAGGGAGTGCCTTGCCCACTACGTCGCCGCGGCTAAGGAGGATCTGACGCTCCTCATTTGTAAGCCGATCCTGCTGGTTCTGGGCTTTGATGTACAGAGACTTTGGGATGGCTTCGCCGTGGGCTGACTGTGCGTTCCGTTGCCGTATAGAGCGTTCGATGGTTGCGTGTAGCGCTGGGTCAGCGCGCCGCATGGCGTCGGCCGCTTCCTCGCTATCGAGATCCCCATCTACGTCAGGCCAGTCCTCCTCTCTGGTTCCGAGGGTTCCAAAATCGGATCCCAGGTTGCGTGGTTCCGTCATCTCAAATGGGAGCGATTGGTGCGTGCAATTGAGGGGTTATCTCAAGCGGGATTAAGATCCCATCAACCAACATTGACATACAAAGGGGCAGGGATTAGACCAAGCCCAAAAGTTCTTTCAAGCGTAACCCTTTTCAGTTTATTACAGGCTTATGTCAGCAGTTATCCTGTCAAACTTATGCGGAATGACTTTCCTCGCCATCAACCATGGGGCGTTGTATAACGCTCATGTGGGACATTTTCTGCCACTTGTCCACCAGCAATACTGCATCCTTGCGATTTCATAGTCGCAACGAAGAACTTGGTACTTAGATCACCACTACGTGTCGGTACTGTGCCGACGAAAATAGATGTTTCGATAATTTCCGGTCTGCTTGTTGACCATCAGTAACTCTCCGGCGGGAAATGTCTGACTAGAAGAACGGAATCACTCATCGCCGCTTCTACAATAATTATGTTTCAGAATCCTACTGGTCCAGGGATCCTTCATCGTTGAAGTTGTCCTAATCTCAACTGCCCTGGAGGCAACCTACCAACAATGCACTCCAAGTCAGAGAAGGGATATTAAAGTTCGAGAATAGCTTCGCCGCTTGGAAATAGAGAACGATGTGTCCTGAGGAAACAGCTTAGGTCTCAGCAGTTACACGCCAACAGACCTATCCAAGCGCGCTCGGGCTGACGTGCAGTGCGTACTTAATATTCAGCTTCGATCTTGCCGACACAAGCAGGGACCTCATAGCACGGACAACTCGAAATTCCACGTCAAAGTTTGCCCATGACTATCGTTCATCCATCATTTTGATGTGGCGGTGAGAAATTAACAAGCCAGTTTCGTCTACCTCCGTCGCGAATAGCGGCTATCCCATTAGTAGAATCTCGAGACACCATGGCCAGCAAAGACATGTCAACCATGAGTTGAAGACGTTAGCCATCGTCGTAATAGTAAGGTGGGCTTTCAGCGGGTCAGAGTCAGGTTCAGCCACGGCTGAGGCTGTGGTGTGGGTTTGAGGGAACGCATCTTTGCCCAATTATCACGTGCGCACTCATAGACTCATGTGGCATTGCATGAGTACAGGTAATCAACAAGTTGGGTACGACACGGCTCTCTGACTATGCTCTAATCGTTCCATTGGGTATTATTTGATCATATTCACATGGCTAGCGGTAAACATAACGACTTGAATCTCGGTCATCTTCGAATCTGTACTAGTTAGAAGGGAAGAAAGATTGCTGGAATTAATTTCATCTGGAGCGAGCCACTGATGTGCAGTATTCACAGAAACAAGTACAGGTCGACTACTCAATGATCAGTAATCGAGACGGTAGAGAAATGTTGCACGAGTAATAAGGGATCAATCTCAATAAAAGATGTACCGATTTGTATGGAGCTACTGTATTTCCCGAGGTCCATCCATGCAGATAGGGGCGCATTGATCCAGCTGACACTTTCCCGCCTGAGCCAACAGTTGGTTGGTACTGAATTCAACACCCATCGCTATGACCAGCGCCCGGTTTGTTACGACGCGGAAACTTTTCCATCAAAAC